ATTATTCGACGAAAGAAAATTTGAATGTGACACATATAAATGAAATATTTTTTCATTTAATCTTTTTTTTTTTAATATAATGAAACAAGCAAGTATTTATTTTATTAATCTTTTATAGATATAAGTTACAAGAAACAACTTGTTTACTTCAACCAATGAGTAGTGACGAAATATATCTAATACATAAAAGGAAGTACACTTATATCTAAATTAACTTGCAATTCTTCGTGTTTCACAACGTCGTCGTTCAACTAATATTTCAGCCAAATGTCGAACTCGAAACCGATGCTAGAAGTGGACAAGAGATGTTAATATATGGTTAGAGTGATTGAAGTTCATCGAGAGTAGCATATTTATTCATTTTATAATCTAGTATTAAATAATAAGATATTGATAAGTATGAGAATAGAATAAATAGACTTACATTGACGTAAAAAGTTAAGTTGTTCATTGGTTAGTTTCTCTTCCAGTTTGACGACTTCTAAATAAATAGAATATATTTATGATGTATTTTGAAAAAAAAAAATTCGAACGAATCCAAACGTATGGCAAGTATTGTTATTTCGTATGAAATTCTATTTCATAAATCAAATCGTAAACTAGAAAAGATGACTTGTTAATTTTAACTGAATTTCTTCTAGGACTCTTTTTTTTCTTACATGATCTATTAAAAATCAAGCATTCAGGATATGTCGAGAAAAAAAAATAAACTAATAAAAACTTGATTTTGTTACTCAGAGTCAAAAATTCATGTTAATATATAAAAAACCCTCGTTTTTATGGATATCTTTTTTTTTAATTATCCTTTTTCTCAATATTGTTTTTTGTCAGTAGGTTTGAATTCAGCAAGGATTCAATGATCAGTCATTAATAACTTCTTATTAATATAAAAAACATTTAAAAATAGACTTTCATCTATATTCTTTGTTCATACATCATTATAATTCTTATGAATTATTTCTCATAATTGTCTTATAATCTGATAACTTACAATTAACAGATTATTAACTAAATGTACTGCAAAAACACATATTTGAATCATTAATGGATAAAGATATAAGAAGCAAGAGAAGAACATAATTCCTACTGAGTTCGAGTCAATTATATCTGGAAAAAAATTCTTTTTTTTTGAAAACAACTTACCAGTTACATGGCATTCATCAAGAACGCCTTCAACCGCACGACAAAAATCCATGAAAACAATTACTGCGAACAAATGTATTAGATAATTGCAATCGATTAATGATTTTCTTTTTCTATACAAAATTTGTCATATTATTTTATATATTAGACATGTTTGATGAAAAAGACAAAGTACAGGAGAAATTCGGCGATCTTTGTTTTCTGAATGCATGAAGCTGACGGACGAGCATGAACTCTTCTGTATAAACAGAGGTATAAGCCGATGAATTGATCGATGGCGGCCTAACACATTCATTGACTTTTTAAACAGTCTTCTTTGTTTCAAAAGAGAAATCTGATTTTAGCCTAATCTAAATCAGATTATTGAATTAGTGATTGATTATAATCACGGTGGTTACAAAATGCGTTTTTCTTGAGTTTTAATTTAGAAATTCACGATTTTACATAGTTTTTTGAACTCCTCGGCTAAACAGATAGGAAAAATAACACCAGACTTACACTTATGGTTATCATACCAAAAAATTCATACTAATACAAAAAAATGCCGATAAAATAGGTTGAAATAGGTTATCTCTTCATTGAGAGTATGGGTTTGGGTGTTGATCTTGTATTCATCAACATCCATATCTCACATAAATACTTACATTTTGATTTGATGGTGAACTGCATCTAAATAAAAAAATCAATGGCAAATTTCTATTCAAAAACTCATACCTACATAATGAATCGACGTTGAACTGACTCTCCATTTAAGAAGATAAATTTATATTTAAGAAACTCATACTTATACTTATACATTTTGATCGATGTTGAAGCAAGACTTTAATAAAAAATAAGTAATTACTCATATTTTAAAAATGATTACTTCCATTTTCATTCGAGATTGAACTAAGTCTAAATAAAAATAAGTACCTATATTTTTTTATGAACGTTGAACCAAGATCTAAATAAGAATAAATAAAATTACATCGGACTGGAAAGGCCAATCTTATCGGACTATACAAGATCTTACAAGATTCAGAGGTTCAGATTATGCAAGAATTTTACAGTATGAATCTTACAATTTCTGATGGTCTCTAAGATCTTGTACAATCTTCGTTCGATTCTTACATCTAGCTCAATCAAAATGATTTCCTATTGCAACATGATACAATAAATGAAATAAATTTTCGCTTCAGATTCATTCGTTTACCATTATCTAACTATTGAGTCTTTCTTCTCTTTGTATATACTATTATAATTTCATCGATCCCTACATCAATTACAGATACATGAATTAGTCGATATAATGTATTTTAATGAATGGGATAACAATAGAAATAGAAGCATTTCAAACTTTTATTCCGAACTAATTCACAAACGACTTCGATTGTTCAACTGAACGAATTTGTGAAATTGTTTTTGTCACAGTCAATATGTGATCTCTTTTGAAATTGCGAATAAAATGAAATATAATTTTATTGAATAACTAAAGTTCACAGGATCTTGGCTTCAAGAGGATGTGCGAGTGTGGGTGAGTCTGGGTATCTAAATCCTCTACATATCCACGTCCATATCCGTTTTATCATTTTCTTACCGATTCCAACTCTGCCTCAAATAAAACAACGCTTCTATTCGACTCAGAAGAAAAAGACAGCTGTAAAAGCAAGGAATATTTTACTTTATAATTTTTTGTTCATCTAAATGATTTAAACCAATTTGTCGTTCATCAATCGACATTAACTGTTTTTACAATAGCAACTAGATAGACTTTTTTATGCAAAGCTTTTATATCGCCATTTTATTTTTATCTTCAAGTAACAATGTTGTCAACACTGTTTAGTTAATTAAACAGCTTTCCATCGAAATAATTACTTTCCTTTGAATTTCTTATTTCTTGCACAGTGTTTTCTTCATACTGTTTTACCTTTATGATCATCATCCAAGACTAATTGTTATTGTCAGAATATTATAGTAGACGTGAATATGCATCACCATGACGTTGGAAAATAAAACTTAATTTCGGATGGTTAATTAGGTAAAACTTACTGGAATATACTTACGAATATCTGAAAACTCAAATTAGTTGTTGGCAGCACAATTCACTAAGGCAGCGAATATTCATAGACATCTATTGTTTAATACTAAGCGAGTCTCATCAATAGATAGAAAAGAGTTTGTTATAACGTGTCTAACTAGATTTTGGCAGTTTGCTAGAGACTATGAATTTTTCTGTCTTTCATCAATGTTACACTTTTGCATCAAATAATCGAATTTTGCATACATTCCCAGAAAAGTAATAGATGCTCATTATAGCTTTTGAATTGATGATACAGATTCTCAATTAACTATACATGGATAGTATGATAAAGATGTGAAAGTCAGTACTATTCGCGTCCACATCAGTTGCATTTTGATCAACTTTAAAGTTATTAATCTTATTATTGATGCATTAGTACTGACAAAAAGTAAGAAAATTGTTAGAAAAACAATCTCATACACAGAAATATGTGCATAAACAAAATAATTTTGATGTACTATCTTTATGCAAAGAAAGGAGAAAAGATATTATATTCTAATTCTCAGAAGAAGCAGTTTTTATCGATTAGAATGTTTCATTGTTTGTAAGAGCAGACTCCGGAGACGGAATTTGCCTAGAAAATATTTTTTAAATTATTTTCGTCGAATAGTATATCTATATTTTGACATTTAGCCTTAAAAAGATGTTTATTAGACAAAAAAATTCACTTCGTAATAATATTATTATTGCAATATTTTAAAAAATATGGGTTTTATATTGACAAAGTCAGAAATAAATTCAAGTGAATCATTTGATAGTACTAAAATATTCTATGTGAGTATGACTTAATAGAGATTCGGTAGATGATTCCATAGAAAGACAGTACAAAAAGTGAGATTATGAAAAGAAGTAGAGTGCTAGTCTCATTTTAAGCAAAAACGTTCAAGACAGTCCGAGATATTTTACTAAAAAATGGTTTCACATTCTTTCTATCTCAAAATCCATAAAAACAAGAATTTGAACGAAATAAAATTTTTATATCTGGGATCGTGCAATTGCTTTTCTTATTTTATTCTTTCTTCGACTATCCTAGTGCGTTAAGATATTACAGGTTGTTCGGAAAGTTCGTGCAACTATATCTAAACTGCATTGGAGAGCCATTTCATGTACTATTTGTTATTGTACAGTTTTATAAAACAGGAGTGGCACGAACTTTCCAGACACCCTGTTATTTCGATTTTGGCGCTTTATTACATTATGGGTATAGCTTTATCATTATACTAGATGTCAACAATAAGTGAAATGATCTTTCTGTGGCTGAACATCTAGAAGAAACTTCAGTAATGTTGGTTTAAATATTTCTATGATTTCTCGCAGTTCAACGTGCTATTTGCCATTAATAATCATATTTGAAAGAGAAACGTATGAATCAATTAACAGGGACTCCGATACTCCAAATGTGTTTGAAGTCCGCTATTTCTCTCTTGTAAAGAACATTCTAAATTTTATTTTAAATATGCATTTCAAAGTACATATCTTGCCCTATCAATTAGTAAAAAAAAGCTAAGCTTCTAGCATTTTCTGTTCGCCTACAATAGACATCAATATTTGCGCAGACACTTATGCATCATAGGTTTTTTTCTATTCGAAAAATTACTGAAAAAAAAGAGATATTTTCTTCATCACTTATACAGAGGAATAACAAACAAGTTAAGAAGGGTGAGTTTCGGTGTGAGTATCAGGTGTGAGTGAAGGAAAGAACTATATCCATACTCACACCCACACCCAGATCCTGGAAATATTTTATTTGAATAACAAGTGGAAGGTGAAAACAACTACAAATTAGAACGATAGTGATTTACAAATAATAGATTAAGCAAAAAACCATTGAAAAATAAATCATATACTTTGAATAATATATATTAATATTTCCAATACTGATAGGTCCTAAAAATTTATCAAAATTAAATTCAATTTTATATGTTCTTTGTATATTTTTAATATTTTCTAGTGAATTACAATTGTTTGTTGCATTGCAAACATAGGACACATAGTCTAAATAACTAACACGATCATTTAATAAATGAATTCTTCCATCAATATATTTCCATTTTTCAATTGACTGTGAAGAGGTTTCACAATATGAACATACTCTTTCTGTTAGTAAATGGTTTGGATCAATATTAATGAATGTTGTACAAAATGAGCAATTTCCTTCTTCTTTATCTGTTGTTCGACGTGCTGGTTTGCATTCACTTGAATTTGTAAAATTTGAATAGATAAAACATTCGATAGAAGTTGATAATTTTGATTGATCCACAGATGATCGACTAGGTGCTTTAATTTCAGTTGTTGTTGATTCAAGTAAACGTTTGAGAACAACTCCAGGATTATTACAGTTATCTGTTAAACAGTGATATAAAATATACGTAGAAAAATTCCCACTACTATGTAGAGTAAATCCAGTCAAAACATAGGGAACATCTCTTTTCTCAGGATTATAAAATGCAGTTACTCGAAGATCACTTTTTGTTCCATTATCAACTGTCCAAATATCCAATGAACAAAATTTATTTGGTGTAACAATTCTTGTACAGTTAAACGCCGAAGGAACATTATCGGATGTTATAAGAAAGTTGTAATTTTTTGGTTCACACTCGAAACATTGTAACATTGAACACGGACTGATTATTAGTGACAGGAACAACCACAGATATACAATAATCATTTCTAAAAGAGCAAATACACAAAAACGGTTCGTTTTCTGTGCCAAAATAGCCCATGTAATTAATCGTAGGATTCGAACATAGCTTAACATAAGATTAAACTACTGATAGATGATGAAAAGCGCCCACTAGAATGTACTACAGATATGTTCTCTAGACTGAATGAAGGACTAGGTTCGAGAGGCAGTAAATAATTCGTCTGTCTGAAACGAGTTTTCAAAACCATTGTCTGTCTCATTCAGCTGCATCTCTTTCTTTCTTTTTGATTGATCTAATACCTTTTATTATTAATATTTCGGCTATTTGTAATTTTTGAAGATTTCTCGGGCTTCTGTCCTTTAACATTTTATTATTTTCGCTTGTTTTCCTATAGTATGTAGACTTGAATATTTGAGACAAGATATGCCATTTATGATGAAGAAAGCTCCATCGTATTGCACATAGTAATTTCACAGGCTTGGTGCTGCAATTCGTTAACATAATATTTTCTCTCAATTAGTATAATACAGAGTAAAACTCGTCATATTCATCATACTCTCAGTGACTTAAAAAAAATTAAAAGATTTACATAAAAATGATGAGACGGACATTAATGTTGATGTATTTCAAATTCATCGATTAAGACAACTAGTTTCATCAATTTATTTCCATGATTTTGATTAAGATTCAAAATCATTGCATTTACTGCGTCAAAATGTTTGTTTTAATCAATGAATTTGAAATAAATCAACATTAATGTCCGTTTCATCATTCAAAAAACCTTTATTTTCGTCTTTTTCATATAAAATTCATGAAATTCATGATTTTTAAAAATTTTTTAAAGTTCCTGCATCGACATCATTGTGTATATCATCGATGGAGATGTGATACAAATTTGCTTTCGGACATTCTACAGCAGGGGCTTATTACATGGAGGTGCTAATGAGGTTTTCGTCCTTCTCCTGCCCACATATTTCTGTGAACGTCGTTATTTTACTAACTGGTTGAAGAAGTTTTGAAATTCTCTCTCTCTAATTCTCACTCTCGCTCTCTATCGATGACGCATTTTGATAGAAGCCTCAGAGCACATGGAATAATGCACTATTCTTACAGAAGGTTTTTTGTTTGTTCGAACTTATTCATTGTAAATTAAGATTGCGATTAAATCAACTGAAGTCTTAAGGAAACTAAGCAATAATCGGATTCTATTTGTGATCGGCAACGTCGAGAATTTACTATTTCACGAAAGTAAAATGAAACTTTCTAGAAGGTTCCTTTTTAACATTTAGCCAGTCTCTTATCTTTTGCCCTTACCTTGATGTCACTTACTTTATAAAAAAACGAACAAAATGCGAAGACCTAATCTGTGTCGAACCTTTTATTCATTGCAAACGATAAACAACTCAACTATTATCTTATTGTTGTTGTTGATGGGGGTCATAATACATCCTTAGCTCTTGACGATCTTTCTCACTGAATGATTGCATTGCTATTCAGGGGTATGGGTATTGGTGTGACTGTGGACATCAGTCTCTTTTCCCATACCAATACTCACACCTACATATACCCTGATGTTTCTTTCTTACTAAGAACATTATCAGACGCAAATGAATGAAGGACAAAGATCATAGAGAATATCGAAGATAACCAAAAGTAAACAATTCTTTTCATTCTCGTCCACCATTTCAATGCAAGGAGGAGAAAAACGAGTCATCTGTATTGGAATGGTTGACGAGAAAGAAAAGAACTGTTTACTTTTGGTTATCTTCGATATTCTCTATGATCTTTGTCTTTCACTCATTTGTGCCTGATGATGTTCTTAGTAAGAGAGAAAGGTCATAATTGTTAATCGAACACTTCAAGATTTCTGATATTAGATTTTAGTCCATCATCGAGTTTTAGAAATTAATGATGGGCATTTTCAGTCTCTGAGCAAATATACGCCTGTTTGAATATTGATATTCCCAAGTAACAAGACGAAGGGTTGTATTTCAATGAAAATGTCGTTGTTAACATCCGATCATTCAAGCAATCGATGTAGATAGATAAGGAACAACTGCTTGTGATCAAATATGTTTGTAACATTAGTCTTTTTTTTTGCCTCGCCTTCGTAGCAGCTATGTCGATAATAAAATAAATTCACTCACCTTTTGTAGCTGATTCTATATACTTCAGATACAACAACGTCGACTTTTACTTCCATTGTTGACCAACAACGCTCTTCGGACTCCTATTTGAAGTTTCACGTGAGAAAAATATTCTCAGAATCAGTTGAGGCTAAAACCAATCAAATACAATTGTTCGAAATTTTCTTTCTCGAAATCTTGAAGTAACCAAGGTTTATCGAACGTTTTTCTTTCAGAAGATGTTTTTGATGTCTTTCGATGAAAAACTCAGACGCAATAGAATAATGAAATTGAAAGTCATAGTCAGAGAAACTAAGTGACGACTTGAAACGTAGGGAGACAAATTCGTCTTCTGGATGCGATGAAGAGAGAAAGACCATCAAAATACTTGATTCTATCAATCCAGTCATTATGATATTAGCACACCTAATTCAACGTAGCAGAAAAGGGCGTGGGTGTAGGCTTGAGATAATATTGAAGAGACCCACACTCACACAACCACAAGCACTCACACAAAGGAATCCCTCTCGATACAATGAGAAAATTAGCTTCTACTGTATTGAAAGAAAATGTTTTTGTTTATGATAACAAGATTTATAAACAAATTATTGGTGTTGTTATTGGTTTCTCATTTACGTGAACATTAGTCAACATATTTATGTGGAAATGACAAAAAGAATTCCTTTGACTACAAGATATGACAGGCGAATTTTATGATTAGTAAGTATAAGAATACATTAAACCTAAGTTTATATCTATCCAATCTTTAGATATTATATTGATGACATTTTTATAGCATGGAATAAATCAGAGAAAGAATTGAGAAATTTATTAGATAAAGCAAATCAATGGCATTCCAATAGTAAATTAGAATTATAAAATTGGTCAAAGTCTTCCATTTCTTGATGTTCTTACGAATAATAATGGTATTTTATCAACATTAGTATGTCATAAACCAACTGTTGAATCATATGTGGTCCAGTTCATCTCTGATCACCCTCAACATGTATTTGAAAACATTATACAAATTGTTCTTACACGAGCTGTTCGATATGCATCCGCAATGGAAGCATTTCATCATGAACGATGCTACATAAAGCTCATGTTATTATATAATGGATAAGTGTCTATTATACAACTGTAAAACTAGAATCATTTTCATCTGTAAAATATTCTTTAATTATCCATCATCATTTATCGATAATAGAAAACAATTTTTTCGTATGCATGATAAAATAATGGGTCAATTAAAACCTCGACAATTCCAAGTAATGATGAGTGCAGGTACAGCTAATATCGATAACGATCAAACAGATGATATAGAACAAATCAAACCAAAAGCATCTACAGAGACAACAACAGAGAAAAAGAAACAAACAAATTATGGAGATAATATATTTATTGATTATACCCATGAAAGCTGATTTCAATCGTTCACATGAAACATGCACCAAGTCTATGAAAATGTCTTTAAAACTGCACCAGCAATGGATCCTAAGTTAATTGTTGGTAATTGTAATCATCGGGATACAAAGAATGAACTCATACGTAAGCGACCAAAACCATTATTATTACAAAACAAAGAAATATTTAAAATTCTTAGGTAAACCATCTTCTTAATGATACATATATTTTCAATTTTCATTGACTAGAGCGATAACGAAGACAAACAAAGAAAACTTAGAAATCAAATACTACCACTGATCAATAAAGATAAAAGATTCACAGAAATCAACAAGCAACACTTATAAAGAATTATTTCATATGCTAATCAATGAATAAAATAATTTTATTTATGATCACTTTTTCTATTCGTTTTATTAACTTCACTTATTGCCCTCGGTAATTCTTGAATCGAACTAAAGTAGAACTAATTTATCGATTCAAAGTTCAGTTAATTTTTTCTTCATCCGTATAAAATACTTATACTTCCTATCATTCTAGATGTAGCATTTATTTGTAAATTACATATTACATTCTACAATTATAACAAAATCTATAATCCTTACAAAATTTCTAGCTGATGCGAAAATGTTTATAGCAGCTGTTCTCACACTCGCAACATATGCTGAAAATTTCATGGGATTTAAACGTGCTACAGTTGAGATCGGTTTTTGAAGAGCGTGAGAGATGGCCTTAACATGTTTCTCTTTTTTGTTCGGTTTCAGTAATAGTGTGTCATGTTTTACAAAAAAACACATTCTTTCTTCATATCTGATAACAGTGAGTATATATGCTTCAACTGTGTCTCAAGAGAAATAAAAAATCTACCAAAAGTGATGTGATTTGAAAAACCTTCGATCTTGTATCGTTATGATTTTTTTTCAGTTTCTGACCAAAAAAAAATTAATTTATTTTTACACTTTGTTCTTATCTTAGTTCAGACTTTTCTAGACCAGTTGGTCACTTAGTTAAGATTTGAATATGAATCAGTTTTTTTCTGCCTCGGACAATTACATAAGATACTCTTGTTACTTCAAATTTTAGATTGTAAATGTGAGTTAAGGCTAGTAAATAATATGAATCAACAATTAAAAATTAAAGATGTCTGGATGAATGATGGCACCAGTAAAGATCTGTTTTTTTCATGAACATGAATTGTCAACTGAAAATGTCGAGCACGAAGCAATTTTACTGGCTGCTATTGGTTCGCCAGATCCTTATGGTAGACAATTAAATGGAGTAGGTGGAGCGACCAGTAGTACCTCCAAAGTAGTCATTATTGCGCCCGCTCAAAACACTGATTTCGACGTGAATTACACGTTTGGCCATT